TGCCTTAGGAGTTTATTTTGATTTATTTCCTCCATTGTAAGCCCCAAGAAGCATGTTTGTAATCAATTTGAACTCATTAATAAAATTTATGTTTGTTCCTTTTGTCTAAAATAAATTTAAATCTTCTAAGTCCTTGAAAACATTACATCCACATACCATGCATCATTTCATGACAAGCTTTCCCCATACAGCTCTCTCATCTGCTTACTATTTATTTTAGTAGAGATGGCTCTAGAGCAGACTATCAAGGACATTCGTACTCAAGATGCTCAACTTCAAGAAATGTTCTTGAACCTATCCAAGGGGCAAGAAAAAGTGAGAGCACTTCTCACTAGGGGCACGACCATGAAGAATCCTGAGGACAACAAGGATGACCAGTTGGAATGGCTACAAACTGAGATAGCCATAATGAAGATCCAGATGATGGGACAGATGGTGGGCCAGTTGGATCTTATCCAAAACTTGGCTCAGGAACAAGAAGAGCTAAGGGCCCTCGTCAATAAAATTCATCAAGACGGATGCAACCATATGAAATAAACAGCCGAGATTAGGGATCATGTCATTATTCAACCTCCCATGAGACAAGAAGCCGGTTTGAGGGAGAGTGGAAATTTCCAAATTGCTGCCACATCGCGAGCCCAACAATAACCTCACCAACAATGACAAGGGAATCAGCGCAAAGAGGTCACACCTGAGAGACAATTCACCAGAATCGACATGTCAATGGCTCAGGTGTTATAACACATGTTGAAGGTAGAGATAATTACGTTAAATGCTGCTCCTAGTTACCATCCTAATGAGAGGTGTGCATACCATTCTGATAGTCCTGGGCATGATACGAATAGTTGCTGGGCTATGAACAACAAAACTCAAGACCTACTCGACGAAGAAGTGTTGGAGTTTACATAAGACGATCAACTGGAACTCTTCTATCACCCCTCAAGGGAATCCATATGAAGTGATGATCTAGGCGGAGGAATTTTTTGTTTATTCGAATTTTCAGTTGTAATTTCTTTGTTTTCTTAAACACGTATCTATATGTCAGACTTTGGTTAATTTCATTAATGCATTGCATATGCTTGTCTTGAATTAATCCATTCGTTTTCATTATACTTAAAACTGTGCTTTTACTCCCTTTATAATATTCAACTCTTGTTTTAAAAGTTGCAAGCCTTTAAAGGGAGGATGACGAAAACAATGCCATAATCTCATACAGTATGCTTTCGAACAGACCTTGCTGATGATGTACATGCATTCTTTCAATTTCTAAACACTGGAGTCATAAGGAATATAATCCCTAGTCAACCCCTTTGAGCCAAAGAAGTAGTAGTTTCCTTTTTCACACAAATTGAAACCTTTAATCAAAACTTGGGGCAGGGTAGTCTCTCAGTTAATTCAAATGCGTGTTCAGTCGCAAGCTTTCACCTCGTATACAACGAGTGATATCAAAAACATCCTTTTGAACCAAAAGATGAAGATGGTTCCCCACAAGATAGACAATCATTATCTCTCAAAAGAAAAGCCCACTAAGTCAAAACCTACGAAGGATACTTAAGAAAATCCGGGTCATCCCGCTGGCTATAATCTCAAAACAAGAACAGTCAGGCAAAAAATAAGGGATAGTAAATCAAAAAAAGAGGTCACTACAAATCCTCGACAACATGAAAAATGTTGCAAAAATGACTGCCTTCCAACAAAACTTAACTTGTCTGAACCATCTCCAAAACGTCACTTCAGACTCAATTGGAATTCAAATGCACAATTAAATAAGTTTAGAACTAGAGAACATCACAAAGAACGGGCGGGTACAAATACACCTTGAGCCTTATCCTTTGTTTCTTAAACAATGAACCAGGCCATGCTACAACCATTAAAAGTCCTAATTGAAGCAGGGGTTAGTTCGAAAGCATACTGTTACAAAAGGTATCCTGACTCCTGTAAGGCTTTACTGTAAATCCTGAATTGAATTCATATTCTTACAAAAATTCTTTTATCTGCTAAAAATAATTTTCAAAACTTCAAGACAAGTATAAACTTTGTTGAATATCTCTGTTTGCATATGGCTTTTTGTTTGACAGCAGAGAAATGCGCACGGAGAACATCCATGAACGAAAATTCTCTCAAGAAACAAAATCATTTCCAATGACAAACCCCCTATAAGCAAGGGGAATGACATGTCACTATCCAACTCGTCTGGGGCAGTCAAGTTAAGATTCAGAGAAATCTCTAAAGAAATGCTGAATAACCAGGGGCAAGTCTGTATCTGAATCACCTGGGGCATTGAACATGAATCCCAACAAAAGGGGCACATACGGCCAAGCAAACATTTTCTGGCAGTACTACAACACTTACTACTAAGGGTAGTGACAAATTCCCACAAAGTCCTTTTCATAGGGTGATCCCTAGTCAAGTCCCCATAGAGTCATCTCTATAAGGTTATCCCCACAAAATAATCTTCACAAATTAGGGTAGGAATCCCTCCAGGAAAAATTCATGGATATCCCCACAAGGTTGGATCCAGGAAATCCCCAGCCAGAGTTTCAATTTTCGGAAAATTTTCTTCCCAGCTGAGTTGGTCTCAAGAAAAATCCTCGAGGAGTTCTGCCAAAAGAAAACTCCTCCCAATAGTTTTTCAAAATATTCTCTTCAAACAGGGTTTATTTCCCCAACAAACTAGATTCCCCAACTTGAATTTGCCTCCCAGACTATTGTAGCGGTAAAATGAATGAAGTTTCCACCGAGTATTTATTTATCCCACAAAAGGTAAAGGAAAATCATTGAAGAAAACCTTAAGGGGAAATCAGGATCTTGTGACCGAGATTGGGTAAGGGAGTCGATTACGCGAAGGAAAGGTATTAGCACCCCACACGTCTGTAGTACTCTACGGGATCCACTCTTGTTATTCTAATCAAAGGGTATGTTAAATCTAATGCTTAAGAGTTATAAACTAAGATGGAATGTATTCAAAGAAAACACAGGGAAAAGAAGGGAATATTTACAAATTTTCGCTCGGCTGAGCCCCGTGACCAGATGCCTACGTATCCCTTTTAAGGAATCAGAGCACTGTAGTTCGACTCACATTTTTTATTTGTTTGTATTTTTTAATAACAATATTAATCTCTCCTTCTTCCGCAACTCGACCTTTGGAGACTTACGCGTCAGCACAGAATGTCCTTTTGGAAAGAATTTTGAAAGAAAAGCCCAAAGGCAAAATAGTTTGTGTTGGTTGGTGTTTTTGCTACAAATAACGGCTAGTTAATCTCAAGAGAGAGATATTATCCATTTCTCTACTTATTCATGAAGTAAGTCTTTGAGACTTGAACCACACCAAGGCTTAGAATGGAGGAATAATAAGATCGAGAAGAAACTTGCTTATCATTTCCCATACTCAACAAAGGTATGACTCTCATCAGTAATATTTAAGTGTCTTGAAGTTTGCAAGAAAAAAAAGTTTTTGTTTTAATGCGAATGCAAAAGGGGAAAGAAAAGTATGAAGGGAGACTAACCTGAATCTAACCTACTTAATGTTATCATACAATGAGTTATCCTATCAAGGTTAGCATGCCACAGAAAATATAACAAAATATCCTATAGGGAACATACAATGAGAGCGAAGTCGTGATCTCAATTTCTAAATTGAGTGACTCATCGATCAATAAGAAGTAAAGGAAAGCGATAAAATCCTATAGGGAGCATGCACTAAGAGAAAAGTAGGGATCTCAATTTCTAAATTGAGTGACTCATCGATCAACAAGAAAGGAAACAAACACAAGCACAACACATATGATAAATGAATTGCAGAATGCCTGCTACAGGTCTTTAAACAACGATTTTGAGCGCATGCTCTTTATTTCTTACTTCTCATGATATCTAGAAAGTGATAAATACACAAAAAAATAAATTGGAAGCAGTATAATACCAAACGAATAATAAAGTCCACAAAAAGCGCAACCAAAGGAAAGAAACCCGTAATACTTCGCGCGAGCTGACATCAATAAACAAACAGTCATAGATCGAATGCTCGGAATAGGTGTCGAAGCATCATCGATTTGAAAATAAATCACAATAAGAATCCAAACACATCTCTATACCTAAAAATGAACCATCATAAGACTCAACTCAACAAGTAAAGGTGAATCACAAGTTTCAAGTAATCGAAAAAATTAGGGATTAATTTGCTAAAAATCAAATGAGAAATGTAACAAATTTTTATTGGTTTTTGTAATTTATTACCTAAAAATAATAAGAGGTATTCCAAAGATCTACATTCTTTATTATTTTTATTATATGTATTTTATTACTATTTTTTTATAGAAAATTAAACTAAAAAAACAATAGCTAACTAAAGAAATTAGAAAGAGTCAGGGGGTGTTATGCTGAAGTTAGGGGTGCATATGGAGTAAGGGCGTTAGGCCCATGCTGAAAATTCAAAGCTTATTTTTTGTTTGTTAAAAGTTCCAGGTTTCAAAAACAAAAACCCAGTTGTGGGCCTAAGCAAGATAGCGGTTCAGCTGCACCTTTTTGTCATGTTATCCTCAGGCCAAAAAAGAAGAATTTGTGGGCTTAAAAGAATGGATTCGATCCAACTACAACCTCCATTATTAGGATCCATCACCCAATTCAATTCTTTGTTTTAACATATATAAAAATAAAAAAACAGTAAAAAAAAATTAAACAAAAAAAACAAAAAAAAGGGATTAGGGTTAATAGTTCATGACTCCCCAACTTTAACTGTTCTTCTTCTCCAATTGAATGGTGCAACTCCTATTCTCTCCGATCCTGTCCGCCATCTCTTCTTCTCTCAAAATCTCTCCACAGCTAGCCTCGACCTCCTTCAATTCTTGCTCTACTGTAAATCAAGTCTGAATCGGAAGATTTAAAAACCTACGTGCTAAATCGCGCCATCCTCATGCTCAATCAAAGTTTAGAACCCTGGGGATTCAACTTTGCTATGTTCAATCTATGCCATCATGTGAAGAAACGAATAGAGAAGTGAAAGAATGGAGAAGAATGGAGCTTACCAACAGGAGAGAGTCTGGCGCCTTTGCAAACTCGACAAAGATGAAGAGAAGACCAGCAAATGCGCTCCAAGACCTTCAAGTAAACATGATAAACTCGATTCCTTGCTCTTCAATTATTTCTCCTTCTTATTGATTCTTCTGTGATATTACATTGGAGATTGATGCGCGAGTCGCTGTTGTTTGCAGAGAGTAGAAAGAAACCTTGAGAAATAAACACAGTGATGAAGCATATGTTGAGGAATTGCGAAATTGAAGATGCGTAATGGTGTAGAGGGAATATTGAAGTTGTAGAGAGGGTTGAAGATGTTGTGTGAAGGGCGAAGAGAATGATGAAGGTGATGGAGCAAATTGAAGATGTAGAGATTGAATGAAGTTTCAAGATGAAAGAGAGAATGGAAGGTTTAAGATGATAGAGATAATGGAGGTTCAAGATTGAAAGAAGATGCAAACTCCATTCAAGAGTGGAAGGGAGAATGAAGGTTAAAGGTGAAGAAGATAATGAAATAGTAGAAAGGTGAGTCTTTTCTGCAATTTTCTCCCCCCCCCCCCCTCACGAATTCTGTTAGAGTCATGTTTATATAGGTTGAGTGAGAAGTGATCTCAGTTGTTAGATCTTATAGAGTTGGTTAAGGGATTAAGGGTTGGTTAGAGGAGGTTCAAAAATCGGTTAGAAGTTAATACTAGGTTGTTAGGCAGTTAGTTATGAATGCAGTTAGAAGTTTATTTTCTATTTTGGTTGTTGTAGAAGTTTGTTATCAAATTGTTTTCTGCTAGTGAAGTTTTTTAGTGACTTTTTGAATGGATGATCCTGCTGAATTTATTATGATTTTCTGAACTGGTAAGGATTCGAAAATATCAATGTCTACATATATTTTATTTCTATTTCCATGTATGGTACAACTGGTTTAATGCAGGTCAAGATCATTTGGTTTATTGATGGACCAAACTGATTTTACCATTCAAAAAGTTTTCTATATTTGCTTTAGTTATATATAACTTTTTCAAAACTTTAATACACCTAAACATCTCTGGACTGTTAGTGAATCTTAGCATGTTCCAGTTTATATATTGATTTGGATATGGTGAACTAAACTGGTTTAGAGGATGTTTAGCCTTATTTACCTGATTTTTTGCTATAAATTATGCAGGCTGCCATGGTAAATTTGTTGAAGGAAGCATGAAGAAGTTTAGGCATTGTGCAAGCAAGGTTGAAGTGAGAAGAAACATAAGTAGGATGGAAGATTATAACTAAGTTTTAGGAGACGTTTTGATGAAATTTTCTTTGTAATTTTGAAATGGCATATGATGTATGGTTTTGGAATGGTATTGTACATCTCCTTGGATATAAAGTCTTGTGTTGGTATGAACCTAAAATTCCTTCTTATCATGTACTTATGTAAAGATTCATGTTGTAAATGGCCCTGACTTTTGGAGACCTTGTGATATTTTGAAGTTTTAATGATGATAATCAAATTATTCTTCACTATTAACAACTCGAAGGGATCATATGAATCCGAATTGAATCATCCCATTTTTTCAAAGTGTCTCCAGGTTGCATAGGCTTGATTATCTACACGATCAACAATTCAAAACCTTAATGTTTTAAAGGACAACATTAGGCTTTAGCCTTGAGACATTTGACATGAAACCTCTAGAAAGCTTGTGTTACTAGTCAACCATATACCTAGATGAATATCTTTACCTCAAATATCCATTCACACATAACTTGTGAGGTAAATTCACATGACTTAATATTCCACCAATATATGCCCTCTTGAATGGAGAAATATCCACGAGCCTTGCGTCGAAGTGAATGGACAATGATGGACTGGTATAGAATAGACTTTGAATCCATTTAAACTTGATTACATTTCTTGAGTGAATCTCTAAATCATCTCCAATGGGACCTTAATTTTGATCTCTAACCCATATTTTCACAACAAAGTACATCTTGATTTAATGAAACCCTAAACCAATCCTTAACCATTTGGGAAATAACACCACAAGAAAGGAGTCCTTGATGAAATCTTCTAAACTGGTTAAAAGTAACGTCTTATGGAGAAAGCCATTAGAAGAAACCCTAAATCATGATGGTGAACTTCCAATAGAGAGAATGATGATCCTTGTAGACTTGAGGAGAAAAAATAGCATAATGAACCATTGTTTGAATACCCAAATATTAATATTCAAGCATAGCATATGGGAAACCCTGATTCTTTGGACATTGATAAATCTTGATAAAACGATATTGTAGCTTAAGGAACCTTGCCAAGGACGATATATGTATGGTACTTGTGATTCCAAAACCCTAGTTTCGTACCAAGAATGATGAGAGCACCACTTAAATCAACTCTGAGTAAGGTAGCAACCTTAATTCATAGAGAGAAACCCTAATGCCAAAGCTCTTTGATCCTGTAACCATGGGACCAATGCTATGTGTGATATGCACAGAGTATGATGAGGGATCTTAGGGGAAAATTGGGGTATAACAGCTGCCCTGATTTAAGTGTCTTCTATCCGGAGATACGAAGATTAAAATCTTTGTTTCTACGCGATCGAAGATGCTTAAATACAAAACAAGCCCTATTTTTGGTCCTAAGATGCCATGCGATGCTTATGATTATGGATGTAAAATATAAACTTCATGCAGGCGAATAAGACACACTGGAGAAATGAAAATAAAATCAAACGAATTAACAAAAAGAAGTCAACTAGGAAAGTAAATCTCTGGGGGACAACACGACTCCGGGGATAGAATTTTGAATCCATCGGAGACAAATCGACTCCGCTGGGGAAAAGAAGATTCAACTTCACTATGGTAAGGTCTAGTGAAGAGACCAAATAACATCAACTCAACAAAATGAGGATAACAATGGTTAACCGAGAACTATGAATTATCCACTCATAGAGGAGATAGAAAAAAGAGAGTAACATCAACATAGAGGACTGGCAACTGCTAAACAGAAGGGTGCGAATAGAAACGGTAAAGATAATACCGGCTCAGAGATGACGATAAACATCAACACCTAGACTAGTAAGCGAGTGATTGGTATCAGTGCTTATGCATGGTAATCAAAGATTTGGCATTAACACTTATGGCTGGAAACAAATCGACTCAATTAGAGTAAGGTCCAATCTAGGAGGAAGAGATCAATCTTGCCAAAGAATGGTAATGAACTACCCACTCAAGAATGAAGGTAGAAAAAACATAGGACAATACTGACTTTTTTTGAAGGTAAAGAAATAGAAGATACACCAACGTCTACTGAAGGTGAACTACCGACTTTCACTGAAGGTAAACTACCGACTTTCATTTAAGTTAGAAATTCAAGAATACACCAGCTTTTACTGAAGGTGAACTACCGACTTTTACTGAAGGTAGGGAGAAAAGAGAATGCACCAACTTTTACTGAAGGTGAGCTACCAACTTTCACTGAAGGTAGGGAGAAAGGATGATACCAGCGTTTACTGAAGGTGAGCTACCAACTTCCACTGAAGGTAGGGAGAAAGGATGACACCAACATTTACTGAAGGTGAGCTACCAACTTTCAGTGAAGGTAGAGATATAGAGAAAATACCAACTTTTACTGAAGGTAGAAATATAGAGAAAATACCAACTTTTACTGAAGGCGAGATCTCCATGAAAAATGAGTTTCCCAAAATTCTGGCATTCTACCTAGAACGGGTTTCAACTCCTTATTTTACCAAGATATTTCACCTAGAAAGGGTAAAAATACAAGCTATCTCAAATAAAGAGACTACCACTTGCAATGATTTCACAACAAACTTCTCTTGCGAAACTTCCTCGAAGATATGCCATTTGATGGAGAATCAGATAAACCTCCCCTCGATCCTGACCATAAGTCACGAACTGGTTTCAGTTTCTTCTTTAACCAAGATATTTCACCTGGAAAGGGTAAAAATACAAGTTATCTAAAATAAAGAGACTACCACTTGTAAATATTTCAAAATAAACTTCTCTTGCAAAACTTCCTCTAGGAGATACCATTTGATGGAGAATCAGATAAACTTCCCCTCGATCCTGACCATAAGCCACGAATTGGTCTCAGTTTCTTCTTTAACCAAGATATTTCACCTGGAAAGGGTAAAAATGTTGCTGTAAGAATCTTTCAATGATCTGTCTTTATCATTGAAGTACAACCAAACTCAACAACGAACTATCTCCCATAATGACGAGACTACCATTCATTGGAGTAACAAATTTTCATCAACGAACTATCTCCCCATAATGACGAGACTACCATTCATCGGAATATAGATTTCAACAACGAACTACCTCCCATAATGACAAGGCTACCTTTCACTGGGGTAACAACATCTCAGCAACGAACTACCTTCATAATGACAAGGCTACCATTCATTGGAAAAACAATCTTCATCAACAAACTATCTCCCATAATGACGAGATTACCATTCGTTGGAAAAAAAAATCTTCTCTGGCATTAAAAGACTTAGTGGGAAGAACAGGTTGCTCAAATAAATAGAACTTCCGCTTTCTATTTAAGAAGGAATTATAATAAGACTGACGAGAAATGAAGCTTGATTTCCTGGGGGAATACCAATACATTCCTGTTGAGGAGAAAAAGTCTTTGTATGCAAAATAAATGCACATTCTCAAACCAAGGCTCGAATCCTGCAGAAGTCAAAATAATGATATTGTTGGGGACCACAGATTCAAACCCGAAATAAACCGGAACGAAACAGTCAACCATGACAACACCTAATGAGAAATAAACTCAAAAGGGGATCACATCCCATCCAGATAATGAACTGAATAGGAAGGCTGAAGCAAAATTCTTCCACGGGGGATAACTCAGTGGGGAATATTGTAAGGATATACATTTTCTCTTTAAAGTTGACAACCCTATTGGAGAGAGAGTAACATAACTTTGCAAAGAAGATAATATGCTGACAAAACATCAACGAATGAAAATGAGTAATGAATTTTAAATTAATCTATGCATGATGTGTATGAATGTATGAATGTTATTGTGTCTATGCTAACATAACAACCATAATGCACCGGGCATAACCAGACAAAGTTGACTTGGGTAAAGACAACACTCGGCCAAGTCACATCCAGGATAAAGGTAGAATAAGCATCACTTGAGGAAACAAAGTCCTATTACACGACTTAACTTCACTGGGAAGAACATGGCTTGAAAACAGTCAAAGCACCCCTTGACTAGCAACAAACAAAGTTGCGGGGATACGATAAACTCCTCTAGGTTTCACCGGGGAATATCAATACGAACTTTGATAGGGGAAGACAATGCTTCATCGTTATACTTCACTTGAGATTCTAATAAAAACCTCATTAGGGAAGGTGAAAGCCACAATGTCAAGACTTTGACTGGGGATGTCAGTATAGACCTCATTGGGAAAGATGAAAAATCACGTCATTGATGTTTCAATTGGAGATTGTTATGCTAACTTCATTGGGGAAAAAGAAACCACACACACCGAAGAGAGCCCAAATACAGTCTTCAATATCAAGCATAATGGTTGTGCAAACTACTTTAGAGAGAAATCATGAAACTTCATGGGATAACAACTTTTAGAGGGAAGCGTCATCCTCGACTCATCTAGAGAATTAAGAAATTAACATCACAGTAATATGTCATATCACGGGAATTTTAAATCAAACTTAGCGCACTGCAAGAGAAAACACGAGGAGTAGACGCTTATCTCAGAACTTCTTAGAATGTATATTGCCCTTGTCTGGTTGTTTGGAGGCACACCACAACAAGAATGTCATAACTGGAGGGCGTAATATCCTGCTAGAGATTCTGCATTACTTCTCAACACAAAGGGAGAAAGAATTCAACAAATAAGCACATGCTTTGTAACTTTGCAACCTCTACTTGATCACCATTCAATCATGGAGAGAAATTACACTCAATCAGAGAAATCTGAATCAAGACTTGATTGGGGAGAATGGGGTTACAAACCCAACATCAAATAACAACTTGAAGAAAGTCTGAAACAAGACTTAACTAGGGAAGAAAATGGGATTGAAAACCCAATACCACACCATAGCCTGGAGGAATCCCACTAACTGGTCAACTACTATAGAAGGAACCATGCACATCTCTACAAGGCAGATTATGAGAAACATTCCTGCTTGAGGAAGATCTTTGGCTTGGGGAAGAACATAGTAACTGTCTTGACAAAAAAATATGGAAACTCCCTTGGAAACAAATTTGGTGTCCCAATTTTACCGTGTTGGTT